ACTACGAGTATTCTCATCGACTCCAACCGCAGTCACACTATTTCTTCGACGAAAAGCTTTCTGCACAGACAAAGCTTATCCGGAATGAGAAAATCTGGCTAAGCGACTAGGAGAGTTGCATGTCTTCCATAATCTGGAGCGTCAAGGGAGCAAAGTCTAGCCCTTTTAAGTCAAGGTCTAGCCAGTCAAGCGGCAAACCCTTGCATGGAGTCAGTACTGCTATTCGCATTTAGTCGACATACACTTTTCGTAATTAGGAATTAGCATTCGCCATTAACAACGGCTTTTCGTGATTAGACAATACACTGGGAGTCAGCAGTCTTTGCTCACCTAACAGACCTTACACCTTCAACTTGTTGAACAAGGGGACACGATATAATTTCAAAAACAAACAGGGGAATCTTGCCTTTCACCCTGAGGCTGGGATCTTTAGTTCAAATTTGTCTGACTATCGCACTGTCTGGCCAGGATTGCATTAGTCTGGCCAGGATCGCGTTAAACCCTGTTCCCATTTTCTGCTTGCTTTTATATATCCACGAGCACCATCTGGTTGAAGGGCGAATTTACCTCGTGCCGTTTGATCTATGTAACGCGTTGCGCGGCCAAATGATTTTGCATGTTACCGAGCTTCCCTTTCACAAATGAAACCGCTCAAAACCTCTGGCCTTTTTTCCTGCCATGCGCGCATCCTATTTATTTCAGTCTCGCTGCAGCCTGCAAAAGTTTGCAGTCGGCAGCCAATTGTGGAGAGAGCAAGCATCACCGTCATCTCGACTCTTTTTTTTGACAAACAAAACACGCGGCAGGGTCACCTCTGAACTTGCAAGGCCGTTTCAGTTTCAAACTCAACTTGCCACCTGAGGTATATTGCCCCCGGCAAAGCTGACAAAAATATTTGGGGCTGCGTCAAAATTCGGGTATGGATCGGCCCGCGGTGATCCAGACGTATGGATCGGTCTGGATCACCTGCGTTTTGGTATGGATCGGGGGTATGGATCGGGAGTATGGATCGGCCTGTGGGTTCAGGGTATGGATCGGGGCTTTACATTTTGAATAGCAGCCATTTACAAACCCTCTCAAGGGTCATAGTGTGAGTGCAATGCAGGTTGGGGTGCAGGCCAGAACCAGAAACAACAACACGAACCCCACCAGTGCACCGGAGCGCCATGGACACTTTCAGCTTCTCAAGCTTCATATAATATTTCAATTCGCACCCGCACAAAATACATTTGAGGTTTTTGCCGGTTTCCCGCCATTCATGGCCAGCCTTGCGATCAGTTTTGGCTTCAGTAAACAACATACTACGAGTATTCTCATCTCGACTCCAACCGCAGTCACACTATTTCTTCGACGAAAAGCTTTCTGCACAGGCAAAGCTTATCCGGAATGAGAAGATCTGGCTAAGCGACTAGGAGAGTTGCATGTCTTCCATAATCTGGAGCGTCAAGGGAGCAAAGTCTAGCCCTTTTAAGTCAAGGTCTAGCCAGTCAAGCGGCAAACCCTTGCATGGAGTCAGCAGTCTTTGCTCACCTAACAGACCTTACACCTTCAACTTGTTGAACAAGGGGACACGATATAATTTCAAAAACAAACAGGGGAATCTTGCCTTTCACCCTGAGGCTGGGATCTTTAGTTCAAATTTGTCTGACTATCGCACTGTCTGGCCAGGATTGCATTAGTCTGGCCAGGATCGCGTTAAACCCTGTTCCCATTTTCTGCTTGCTTTTATATATCCACGAGGCACCATCTGGTTGAAGGGCGAATTTACCTCGTGCCGTTTGATCTATGTAACGCGTTGCGCGGCCAAATGATTTTGCATGTTACCGAGCTTCCCTTTCACAAATGAAACCGCTCAAAACCTCTGGCCTTTTTTCCTGCCATGCGCGCATCCTATTTCAAGCCAACCGCAGTCACTTCGCTATTTCTTCGACAAAAGCTTTCTGCACAGGCAAAGGTTATTCAGAATGAGAAAATCTGGCTAAGCGACTAGGAGAGTTACATGTCTTCCATAATCTGGAGCGTCAAAAACTCAACTTGCCACCTGCGGCATATTGCCCCCGGCAAAGCTGACAAAGATATTTACGGCCCCTCTCAAGGGTCATAGTGTGAGGGTGCAGACCAGAACCAGAAACAACAACGCGAACCCCACCAGTGCACCGGAGCGCCATGGACACTTTCAGCTTCTCAAGCTTCATATAATATTTCAATTCGCACCCGCACAAAATACATTTGAGGTTTTTGCCGGTTTCCCGCCATTCATGGCCAGCCGTGCGATCAGTTTTGGCTTCAGTAAATAACATACTACGAGTATTCTCATCTCGACTCCAACCGCATTCACACTATTTCTTCGGCGAAAAGCTTTCTGCACAGGCAAAGCTTATCCGGAATGAGAAAATCTGGCTAAACGACTAGGAGAGTTACATGTCTTCCATAATCTGGAGCGTCAAGGGAGCAAAGTCTAGCCCTTTTAAGTCAAGGTCTAGCCAGTCAAGCGGCAAACCCTTGCATGGAGTCAGCAGTCTTTGCTCACCTAACAGACCTTACACCTTCAACTTGTTGAACAAGGGGAGCCCTCTCCAGCATCAGGATGCTCTCTGCCGGCCTGTGGCTTTGTGCCGTTCCCCTGGTGCTCAACAGTCAATCTCTGGGAGGAGTATGCAGTGAGTAGACATTGCCGAGTGGGAATGGTGTCCCAAACTCCAATTGGATCCCATACTGTCTCGCCCGTGGAGGACAATATGGAACTCTACTGGTAGCATTCATCCTCACGTTCCAAGCCTTGTCAGTAGTTGAGAAGGCACGTCCCAAAAGACGTGCAGTTTGTGACATACGGCATGAAAGCTGCTCACGCCATGTTGCGGAATGGTCCATGCCCATAACATTCCATATCTATCCATATCTATCCATATCATATGAAACGGTGGCTTTGGCATGTCTCATTTTCTGCTTGCTTTCATGTATCCACGAGGCAAAATCTGGTTGAAGGGTGAATGGACCTCTTGCTGTTTGAGCTATGTAATGCGTTGCACACCCAAATGATTTTACATGTCAATGAGGGAAGTCAAAAACTTGATGAGAAGGGAAAATACAGATTTTTGGGAAGGTAAACACCTGATGGGAACGGGAAACACCAAACTGGGAAGGAAAGGACAGCAGAGAAGGGAAAGGACCAAAACAGGAAGGGAAAATACCAAACCCATCAGTGAGTTTCCCTTTCACAAAGGAAACTGCGCAAAACCTCTGGCCTTTTTCCTACCATGCGTGCATCCTATTTCAGTCTCGCTGCAGCCTGCAAAAGTTTGCAGTCGGCAGCCAATTGTGGAGAGAGCAAGCATCACCGTCATCTCGACTCTTTTTTTTGGACAAACAAAACACAGCGGCAGGGTCACCCACCTCTGACCTTGCAAGGCCGTTTCAGTTTCATACTCAACTTGCCACCTGCGGTATATTGCCCCCGGCAAAGCTGACAAAGATATTTACAAACCCTCTCAAGGGTCATAGTGTGAGGGTGCAGGCCAGAACCAGAAACAACAACGCGAACCCCACCAGTGCACCGGAGCGCCATGGACACTTTCAGCTTCTCAAGCTTCATATAATATTTCAATTCGCACCCGCACAAAATACATTTGAGGTTTTTGCCGGTTTCCCGCCATTCATGGCCAGCCGTGCGATCAGTTTTGGCTTCAGTAAATAACATACTACGAGTATTCTCATCTCGACTCCAACCGCATTCACACTATTTCTTCGACGAAAAGCTTTCTGCACAGGCAAAGCTTATCCAGAATGAGAAAATCTGGCTAAGCGACTAGGAGAGTTACATGTCTTCCATAATCTGGAACGTCAAGGGAGCAAAGTCTAGCCCTTTTAAGTCAAGGTCTAGCCAGTCAAGCGGCAAACCCTTGCATGGAGTCAGCAGTCTTTGCTCACCTAACAGACCTTACACCTTCAACTTGTTGAACAAGGGGGCACGTCTCATTTTCTGCTTGCTTTCATGTATCAACGAGGCAAAATCTGGTTGAAGGGTGAACTGACCTCTTGCTGTTTGAGCTATGTAATGCGTTGCACACCCAAATGATTTTACATGTCAATGAGGGAAGTCAAAAACTTGATGGGAAGGGAAAAAGATTTTTTGCATGTCAAGTGTCAATGAGCTTCCCTTGCAAATGAAACCTCTGGCCTTTTTTCCTGCCATGCGCGCATCCTATTTCAAGCCAACCGCAGTCACTTCGCTATTTCTTCGACAAAAGCTTTCTGCACAGGCATAGCTTGTCAGAATGAGAAAATCTGGCTAAGCGACTAAGATAGTTCCGTGTCTTGCTAATCGGGAACGACAACAGGGCGAAGAGCCCTTTTTAAGTCCCTAGCCATTCAAGCGGGGATCCCTTGCATAGAGTCAGCAGTCTTTGGCAACTGGATCGCCTAACACTTACATTTTTTTGCTTCAAGAACCTATGTCTGTGAAGCAGGAAGGCAACCACAACAGCTAAGGAATAAGCTGGACAAGTTCGAAAAAAGATGTGAACTTGTTCGGCTCATCAGTGCTTGCATGTCGTCAATGTTTGAATAGAATAGACGTATTTTACTGCACCAACACTAGCCAAAAACAAAAAGTAAACAAAAATGGAAGTCGTGTCTCCACCTCAGGTTGAGATTTTTAGTTCAAACTTGTCTGACAAGCGCGCTGCCTGGCCAGGATTGCATTAAACCCAGTTCCCATTTTCTGGTTGCTGTCATGTATCCACGAGGCACAATCTGGTTGAAGGACGAATTTACCTCGTGCCGTTTGAGCCATGTAATGCGTTGCACACCCAAATGATTTTACATGTCAATGAGCTTCCCTTTCACAAATGAAACCGCGCAAAACCTCTTGCCTTTGTGCCTACCATGCGTGCATCCTATTTCAAGCCCTCTGCAGCCTGCAAAGCTTTGCGGTGGTTACAGAAAATCAATAGCAATCATCACCGTCATCTCGACTCCAACCGCAGTCACACTATTTCTTCGACGAAAAGCTTTCTGCACAGGCACAGCTTATCCAGAATGAGAAAATCTGGCTAAGCGACTAGGAGAGTTACATGTCTTCCATAATCTGGAACGTCAAAAACTCAACTTGCCACCTGCGGTATATTGCCCCCGGCAAAGCTGACAAACATATTTACGGCCCCTCTCAAGGGTCATAGTGTGAGGGTGCAGGCCAGAACCAGAAACAACAACGCGAACCCCACCAGTGCACCGGAGCGCCATGGACACTTTCAGCTTCTCAAGCTTCATATAATATTTCAATTCGCACCCGCACAAAATACATTTGAGGTTTTTGCCGGTTTCCCGCCATTCATGGCCAGCCGTGCGATCAGTTTTGGCTTCAGTAAATAACATACTACGAGTATTCTCATCTCGACTCCAACCGCAGTCACACTATTTCTTCGACGAAAAGCTTTCTGCACAGGCACAGCTTATCCAGAATGAGAAAATCTGGCTAAGCGACTAGGAGAGTTACATGTCTTCCATAATCTGGAACGTCAAGGGAGCAAAGTCTAGCCCTTTTAAGTCAAGGTCTAGCCAGTCAAGCGGTGATCCCTTGCATGGAGTCAACAGTCTTTGCTCACCTAACAGACCTTACACCTTCAACTTGTTGAACAAGGGGGCACGATATAAGTTCAAAAACAAACAGGGGAATCTTGCCTTTCACCCTGAGGCTGGGATCTTTAGTTCAAATTTGTCTGACTATACAAGCCTGTAGGACATATTTTTAGGCAAGTGGCCGCTGACAGGTTCACAGGGACACGAGGGCACAAGGACCGACTTACCACCAGAGCCGTCAACACTGGTACTGCGGCAATGGCATCATCAAACCTGTCATCGCAGCTTGCCCGGGGCCCTGTCAGAGCCTTCACAAAAGCAAGATTATGCAATCAGCAAAACCCTGGCCATGGCTCTGCCCTCATTTCTGACGTTTTTGATTTCGGAAGGTCTCCACTGACTTGACAAGGAAACCATTGGAATACCATTGGGACACATTCCAATCATTCCAATGATTCTAGCATGACCATGCAGGCAGTGCCATGTCCACATTGGAGACAAGCCTGGTCTGTGCCACATGTGCATCCCATAACGGACTGCGTCAGGGACGGACTGGGCCAAGCCCTGCGGGACCCCGCAAGAATTCAGCACCGTGAAGGCAGTGACCAACAACCATGTGGCCAAAGGACCAATATGTTCCCACGCATCGACCCAATCCAACGTTAGTCGAGCAGTATTCACTTGCATTGCATGCGTGAGACACACGAGTGCCTCCTCTCATCGCTTCGCACAACTTTCAGCTCGAACTTTGCACGTACGGAAATGGAACTATCCGTACCTCCAAGTCCTAAGAATACGCACGCTGTTTGAATGGTAAATCCGTCTTCCGCTTGCAACTGGCGTCGTTGGTCTAACCTATCTTAAGGTCTTAGGTGTCGGGGATTGTGAGTGGACCCGGAAGAGTGCCTGCCTCAATGGCTTGAAGACAAGTAGCACGGCTTGCAGAGAGAGATGCCTGAAACAAAGTACTCGGAGCATTTGGTCAATGGCAGTGTGGTTACTGAGTATGGTTCCCAAGAAGAGGCTGTGGCCGGAAAAAGGCATTTGCGCTGGGCCACTAGCAAAAGTTTGCGGGAAGCTTCAAAGGGAGCCAGTTGAAGCAGGTCATCAGTGCATCGCCCAAGGCTAGAAATCGGAAGATTTGTTCACTGGAATGCAAATGATGCGGGCGCGCAAATCAGGCGTGAAAATAAGGGGAATTGTCAAGTTGTCAACTTGGAAACCAGATGGGATCTCTGCACAGCTTGCAGCCGTGAGATCAGAAACTCTGTTTGTATCCTTCGATATTTTTCATAGGTACGGCATGTCTGCATTTTCTGACCATCTCATGTAGTCTGCTATTGACTACGAACAAGCTGCGATTTTTTCGGCATGCAGCTCACAAGCACGCCCCGGTGACAGAGTCTCATGGTGAAAACATCTAAACCTGGGATTGATCCAAGTGAATCCGACACGGTCTCATCTCCTGTGAACATCTATGAGAAAAGACACGATACCTTTCAATCAATAGAGTTTGATTACTTAGGATGTAAAATTCAGCCAAGTTGACTTTACACGTTTCACAGAAAACCTTTGGACAGTTGATGCCAAGTCCAAAGTCCTTTTGATTTTGCCAACTATGAGCTATCTGCCAAGCCTGGCTCGCAGAAGCAAATGGAAGGGGGACTGGCCGCACTGGCACTTGGAATCATGGATGAAGTGGCTGAAGCATTCCCAAAGTCATCTCCAGATACCTATGCTGAATTGTGCCACCTCCTTTGGATTACAATTTATGGTGCAGCATGTCTTGTTAGTCGCCCTGCGATAGAGTCGTGGCTTTGGAATTCCATTGCAAGGATGCCATGATTTCAACGGCTGGGCTTCGGCTTAGCATTCAAATTTTCACCCTGAAACTTTGGCTCAAGACAGCTAAAATCTTGGCGAAAATGCCTTCAAACACCGACCGTCTGAACTTTTTGCAGTTGCTGAAAGGGATCCTTTACGGTGCCTTCCTGACACACTGCGCAAGTCCCCGTGGTCACCTGCGAGCCAAGTCCAAAAAAAATCGGAAGGTTGAACCACTTGAAGACTACACTGACATGTCACAAGATCCTTCCCGACTCTGTCCTGAGGCCGATTGGTGGTTACTTAGAGAAGATAGCATGTAGAATCTGAAAAACTTGAAACAGGCAGACTTCTTGGAGAAAGGGGAACATAGAGGAAAACGGCTGGGGCAAATTAAATCGCTGTCAAGTGGCGTAGGCATTGCAAGTCATCCAACATCGCAAATGTGCCAATGAGGTCCTTCATGCACCCGAAGTCAACCATCTGTTGCTTCAGATGTCAGCCGAGAGTCCTCAAGTTGAGGGATTTGGAGCAGTTCAGTCATTGCAATCAAAATCATTTTACAAAAAAACAGAAGTGTCGAAATTGTACAAGCACAACTACAAACTGGCAACCGCAACCAAGTAGATCTCACTTTCAAAAAGTGACGTCTCGAAAACTCCATTCGCAGCATATATCTTGAACATTTGAAGTGATGCATTTTAGTTGTCAACTCTGAATTGAGCCACAAGGAATCTCATCGTCGCCTCATCGATATGTTCTTTATGGGGAAACATACCTAAATGAGTCTCTCTGAAGTACCCAATTGGTACTTCCAAAATGGGAGCCCCGAGGCACTGCAATGAACGTGCAGAGGGGGAAAAGAAAACTGACAGTTGCTATGGTAGCAAAGCCAGGAGTAAGAGGCAAAAGGCCAACCAGACAACACGACGTTTGACGAGGGGAAGCTGGCTGCCCTGCCAAAAAAGACCCGAGCTAAGGTGGAAGGGTTCTAATCACGAAGCTGAACGGGAGAAAATCACGCCAATGTGAAACCGGCAGGCCGCATCATCGTCATTGGTCTCTATGGCTCTCCGGGCTGTGGGGTGTGATGAGAAACCAAATGTCAAAGTCGAAAAGGTCAAGGCTCGGCCAAGGATGGCACACTGTCAGAGGACTCAGCGAGCCGTCGGAGGACGGCCCGCGCGTTCTCACGTTGCAGGGCAACAGACAAAGCTTGGAAAAGTTGTTCGGCCCCATCACTCGCAGACATCCCAAGTCGAGAAGCGTGCAAAGCGCCCAGTTTTCGGAAGGTGGCAACGGCGGTCGGGCCCCACCCGCCGCCGCAGGCTTCAACCACCAGCGGGATGAACTGTAAGCCTTGTCCAGCACACAGCTGGGCAGTATTGTGGTGGATCTTTTTTCGGATCTCGTAGTTTGCAGCTGCCGAAGCCCCGTCGCCAGCAGAGGTGGCCAACACTGAGCCCCGCATACCACTGGTGGCTGCAAGGTCCATGGCGGCAGGTCCATAGGCCCCCCAGTTGGGTAAGTACACATCTGCAGGTCTTCGCTGGGAAACGGAGGGCCGGCCGACCTCGCTGGCTCCAAGTTCCTCGGGTCGTTCCGGCAAAAGCCCCATCTTTTCAACCTGGCGGCTGTGCGGCCTGCATCTGGGGTGGACGCCGTTGTATCGGCGGCCAACAAGGAGCCCGCAGACCGAGCACAAGTCAAGCCGGTGGGCCTGGAGATATTCCGCCGGTAAGGTCCATAGCCGTCCGGAGCAGGGTCATCCAGAGTGCGCAACCTTCGTACGGAGCCCAGCCAGAGTCCAAGTCAAGGCCAAGGGCCGGAGATGGGCGGGCCAACAGCCATGCCCCCGCTGCCGGCTGCTGGAGTAGTTGAAGGTGGGCTCGGCCACTGGCGTCCTCTGCAGTCACCAGCAGCTGCGCCAGTTGCGCTTTGTCTAAAGCAGCTGAGAGGGCTTGCTGGCGATGGGCTTGGTCACCACGGAAGCGATCTGCTTCCAGGACAACTGCATTGTAGGTTGCAGCAGTCGCAGAGGAAGTTGGCCAGTCCGGGTTGTACCGCCCATCTAAACCTCGACATGCTTCTTGCGTGGAAGCCACAGAAGCAAGGTAAGCAGCTGTAGCATGAACGGCGCATTGTCGAAGGCCCAGCCCCCCGTGCTTAACGCCCAAAGTCGCTTGTTGCCAGATCCGGTCTGGAACTGGGAAGCAGCCAATGGATTCGAGGCAGGCGCGCACTTTTCCATCGAAGGCCACAAGTGCTGCACTGTGGAGCCCAGCGGGGGTGGTGCGCATGTTGTGCACAAGTTTGGTGAAGGACGCGCAGTGCCGCAGCAATTGCAAACTGACTTGTGGGTTGTCAAGCTCGCCCAACGCGTCCAAAACCTTCCCAGCTTTCTGCACCTTGTCGGAAAGAGTGGCTTGGGGGCAGTACTCACTGTCTCCAATAGGGGCCCCAAGGAGGTCGAAAGCTGCTCCTTTCACAGCAAACCCGGCCGGGAACAAGGAAAAGTCAACGGCCGACCTGTTTCCGGCAACAGCAACCAATTCACATTTGGTTGGTTCCAGCACCAGGCCCGCAGCCGCAGCTGTAGTTTGGAGGGCAGCCAGAGAGGAAGCGACCACATCGGCCCGTCCAGCGATCACAACGTCATCCAGATAGGAAAAACAAAGCTCGACCGGGCACTGGGCTGCTTGCCGGAGGGCAGGTTGCAAAGCGGCTGAGAACAGCAAGGGTCCGAGAGGGTCGCCTTGTTGAACACCTTGTGAAGATTGCAGGGTGTGCTCCCCAAAGAGCAAGGCAGAAGAGCTGGTATAGCACCAATCAGCCCAACAGGCCAAGCCGGGAAAAGCTGCTCGAGTCTCAGACAAGATGGCCAACCGGTCAACGGAGTTGAAGGCATTCTTGAAGTCCACTTTGAGCAGCACCTTATTCACATCGGCTTGGTTACGATCCACCCATTGGCGAGTGGCATGGACAGCGGCTTCCCCGCCCAGGCGTGCCCCGACCCCAACCTGCAAGGGCCAAAAGTGGTTGACAGCGTCCTCCCGCACAGCTTGGCAAAGCACCTTGCTCACCAAGCGACGCAGAGTCTCGCCAACTGCAATGGGGCGTACGCCGCCCTGTTTCTTGGGGAGGGCGTGAAGGCGTGCGCCGGCTAAGTGGGGGGCCACAAGCGCAGGCGCCTCTCCACGCGCTAGCAGCTGACACAGAGCAACCAGGTGGGAAGCCACCTCATCGCCGTGAGCGGTGGACAGCGTTTCCTTCAGATGGTCTGCCCGGAGGCCGGAGGGTCCAGGAGCCGAAGCTCGGGAAAAGCTGCGCACTGCCCGGACAACGTTCTCTTTGGTCACTTCAGGCACTGCGGCCGGGCGGGCCGGCCCAAGCTGAGCCACGTCCGGAGGAGCAGCCTGGGGGTGTTGGGCGGCTAAAGCTTCCAATGTTGCCCGTGAAGGTGGCAGTGGAGGAGGCTCCGTCAAAGCAGCGCATGCTCGAGACAATTCGCCTTCTGCCGCCAGTGCGCAGCAGCGTGTATGCTGGGCAGCCAATTCCACGCCATCAGCTCTGGCGCGTGCCGGCCGGGGCTGCACTAACTCATCCCACAGCTCCATGCGTTCGCCAGCCAGCCACCGCTGGCAACGTCTGAGTGTGGAGAGCGCCGCTTGCTTGTGGTGCCCTCCGCCGCCTCGCAGAGGAGCTGCAAGAACAGCTTTAGGCAGCATAAGCAACTCTTGCCAGGCAGGCCCTGTGTTGGTAGTAGCCGCCGCAGCCACGGCACGAGCAAGGCATTGGGCCCAGGCCGCCCGGGCGACATGGGGGACATGTCGCAACGTGGGCGCGGTATGGCCCATGATGGTGCTGAAGCTGGGGAGGCCTGGGTCCTGGGCCGATGCGTGGCCGTGATTTGCAACGTGGTGGCGGCTGTGCGGCCTGCATCTGGGGTGGACGCCGTTGTATCGGCGGCCAACAAGGAGCCGGCAGACCGAGCACAAGTCAAGCCGGTGGACCTGGAGATATTCCGCCGGTACAGCCCCAGTCAGCGTGCCGGAGCAGTGGTCATCCAAGTGGTGACGCATGCCTTCGTGGGAGGCCCAGCCAGAAGCCCGCATAGCATCTCCGTGGCCGCAGCCGGGAACAGGGCAAAAGCAGCGGACAGCGACCCCTGGCTCGGCAACCCGGCGTCGGAGAGGGTGCCTGTCGCCGCCACTGTCAGGGCTGTGTGCGCGGCAACGTTGGATGGCCGGATGAAGCGGTGAGCCGGGTGCAGGAGGGCCAGGATGCCGGGCCTCACCCACCCGAACACCACGGTAGCCCCAAGTTCGGCGGAGAGGCCGTTTCCAAGCAGGAGATCCAAGCCCCCGCCCCGCCCACATGGTGTTCAAGGCTGTGGTCAATCGGCGGCGGGTACGTCGCCCAATGGGGGCTGGCAGACTCTGACGATGAACGCCCCATGCCCAGGTCGGAGAAGTAGGCGCAGGGGCCCGGGGCGCCCAAGCGGCTTCGTTGTCTGTCCAGCCCGGCCCGGTGAGCAAGAGGCCCACGACGGAGAGGAGAACTCCGGGAGAGGGGGCCATGCGCCCCCTGAAGGCAGGCTGCTGTGTGACTGTCGCCCGGACGAGGCAGTGCACCAGAGGTCCTGAGACGTGGGACCGACGGCACGTCACCGGCGCAGTCACACAGCAGCAGCCCCCAGGGGCCCGGGGCAGAGATCGCTACGAAAGGCTATATAAAAACTTGATGTATACTGCTGGGGTTATACATATCATTATACATATAATTATATATATATGTAATAGGAGTTATAACTGCCTATGTTGACACAATTTTGCCTGGGATATAACTACAGTTCTGACGCCTGTGATGATTTTTAGGGGTTCATTACTGCACTCCTTTATGGGTGCTGCTGTTGCAAACCTCTGTGCTGTTCCAAGAATCTCAGCGTTGCTCACATGGAGACAGATTCTAAGCACGGCCACAACGCCTGATCAAATCTGATGCAGACACGCAAAAGATGTTTGGTCGAATTTCAAGGAACATCACATTCTTGGCGCTCTCGGCAGTCTCCCCTCAGCAGCCAAACCCAAACATCAAAACGTCAATGTGTTCCACTGCAAAAAAAAACACATCCGTTTGGGAAGCAGCTGCAAGTCATGCTGCATTTCACTTTGGGTATGTTCATAGTTCTGATTGTCATAAGTCATACCGTCCGCGAAAAAAGGTTGTCTGTTTGCAGGGACCTACATGGCCGAAAAACACATCTATCCACTAACTGCTGCGTAGGCACTTTCCGGGCTGAGCACACTCAAGAGCAATGGAATCAACCAGAGTCATGGCACCAGACGGCTGTGTAGCTTCAAAGAGTAGAAACAGGATTGAAAGAGTTCTACTTAATGCACTTCCCTCACAAGTCAAAGGCAATTGAAGCTGTGAGTGAAGTGCTTGAACCAGCGTTGCGGGGTTGATTAATTAAAACATCCATGAACAAGTACATGAAAAAGCACCTCAAAAGAGGAGATACAAATACCAATAATCCCAAGGGTTGTCTCCAAATATTCAAAGTATGAGTCTCAACAGCCCTGCAAATGTTCTTAGAGCCGTCAAGCACCTGTACTTCTTGCACATTCAAACTGAATCAAGTGAATCCGCCGGCCTGTCGGCGTGTCTGATTGGAAGGTGTTGTTCTTGTTTCTGTTCTTGGTTTGTGTTTGTTTCTTTGTTCCCTTGCTGCGCGTTTTTGCTTCGTCTGAATCAAGTCCACCCCCCCACCTCCTCCTCCTGCTGCTGCTGCTGCTACTACTGCTACTACTGCTACTACTGCTACTACTACTACTACTACTGACTACTGACTACTGACTACTGACTACTGACTACTGACTACTGACTACTGACTACTACTACTACTACGACTACGACTACGACGACGACGACGACGACGACTACTACTACTACTACTACTATACTACGACTACGACCACGACCGCCACAACCACCACGACCACCACGACCACCACGCCCACCTCCACCACCACTACCAATACTACCATCACTACCATCACTACCATCACTACCATCACTACCACTACCACTACCACTACTACAACTACTAACTACTAACTACTACTTAACTACCACTTAACTAGTACTTGACTACTACTACTACTACGACTACTACGACTACTACTACGACTACTACTACGACTACTACGACTACTACTACGACTACTACTAGGACTACTACTACGACGACTACTACGACGACTACTACGACGACGACTACGACTACTACTACGACTACTACTACTACTACTACTACTACTACTACTACGACTACGACTACGACGACTACTACTACTACTACGACGACGACTACTACTACTACTACTACGACTACGACGACTACTACTACTACTACTACTACTAGTACTACTACTACTACTACTACTACTACTACTATACTACGACTACGACCACGACCACCACAACCACCACGACCACCACGCCCACCTCCACCACCACTACCAATACTACCATCACTACCATCACTACCATCACTACCATCACTACCACTACCACTACCACTACTACAACTACTAACTACTAACTACTACTTAACTACTACTTAACTAGTACTTGACTACTACTACTACTACTACTACTACGACGACGACTACGACTACTACTACTATTACTACTACTACTACTACCACCACTACCACCACTACCGTCACTACCACTACCACTGCCACTGCCACTACCACTACCCTTACCACTACCACGACTACCGCGACTACCGCGACTACCGCGGCTACCGCGACTACCGCGACTATCGCGACTACCGCGACTACCGCGACTACCGCGACTACCGCGACTACCGCAACTACCACGACTATACCGCCACTACCACGACTACCACGACTACCACGACCACCACGACTACCACGACTACGACCAACGCGACCACCACGACCACCACGGCCACCACAACCACCACGGCCACCACGACCACCACGACCACCACGGCCACCACGACCACCACAACCACCACGAGCACCACGCCCACCTCCACCACCACTACCAATACTACCATCACTACCATCACTACCATCACTACCATCACTACCATCACTACCACTACCACTACTACAACTACTAACTACTAACTACTACTTAACTACTACTACTAAACTACTAAACTACTAAACTACTTAACTACTTAACTACTACTACTACTACTACTACTACTACTGCTCCTCCTACTACTACTCCCTACTACCTACTACCTACTACCTACTACTACTACTTACTACTTACTACTTACTACTTACTACTTACCAGTAGTACCCGCACGAGGCGGGGCGGAAGTTGCCTTAAAGATATATATAAGACCTTTCTCATCTATAGAACTTGCATGCGCCGTGCGCCAGCCAAGCCCGTGCGTGCGTGCACTCTGCGAAAGTTGTGTCCTGTTTCACATGTCACATTTGAAGCTCCACCACTTCGCACTTCGCACTTCTCACTGCACTCTTCACACTCCACACTACACACTTCACACTCCACACTTCACACTCCACACTTCACACTTTTGTTGGTTCTTTGTGCGAAGCTGTTGCCCAGATGTTGTCCAAGAACATGACCTGCGCACGACCCCGGCGCAATGCAACGCCAAGCAAACACTTTCTTCACACTTCACACTGCACTCTTCACACTTCACACTTGCACTTCACACTTGCACTTCGCACTCGACACTTCATCTCTCAAATCATGTGAGCTCTTCTCACCTCATCTGAGCTCTTCTCATCTCATCCCGTCTCTTCTCACATGTCAATTAAGTAAGTTCTTCTCAACTGTTTTCATCTCATCCGAGCACTGATCAACCTTTCTCATCTCCTTGGAGTTCGTCTCAACTCATCTTAGCTGTTCTGTCCGCAAGAAAGCTCTTACTGTCAGAGAGAAGTCTTTTGCACTCTCAGGGCGCAGAAAGTTATTGCACACAGACACTTGAGACACAGACGCATTTACATACAACAGCCTTTCCGAAATACTTTGTACTACAAAGCTTGCACAAAGCACTCCCCAGTACTACTTTGTACTGCAATGCTTTCACAACCCACTTTCCAGTCTAACTTTGTACTACAAAGCTTGCACAAAGCACTTCCCAGTACTACTTTGTACTACAAAGCTTGCACAAAGCACTTCCCAGTACTACTGTGTACTACAAAGCTTGCACAAACTACTCCCCAGTACTACTGTGTACTACAAAGCTTGCACAAAACACGTTCCAGTACTACTTTGTACCACAAAGCTTGCACAAAGCACTTCCCAGTACTACTTTGTACTACAAAGCTTGCACAAAGCACTGCCCAGTACTACTGTGTACTACAAACCTTACACAAACTACTTCCCAGTACTACTTTGTACTACAATGCTTGCACAAAGCACTTCCCAGTACTACTTTGTACTACAAAGCTTGCACAAAGCACGTCCCAGTACTACTTTGTACTACAAAGCTTGCACAAAACACTTCCCAGTACCACTTTGTACTACAAAGCTTGCACAAAGCACTTCCCAGTACTACTGTGTACTACAAAGCTTACACAAAACACTTCCTAGTACTACTTTGTACTACAAAGCTTGCACAAACCACTTCCCAGTACTACTTCGTACTACAAAGCTTGCACAAAGCACTTCCCAGTACTACTGTGTACTACAAAGCTTGCGCAAAGCACTTCCCAGTACTACTGTGTACTACAAAGCTTGCACAAAGCACTGCCCAGTACTACTGTGTACTACAAAGGTTGCAAAAAAGTACTTCCCAGTACTACTTTGTACTACAAAGCTTGCACAAACCACTTCCCAGTACTACTTTGTGCTACAATGCTTGCACAAAGCACTTCCCAGTACTACTTTGTACTACAAAGCTTGCACAAAGCACTTCCCAGTACTACTGTGTACTACAAAGCTTACACAATCTACTTGCCAGTACTACTTTGTACTACGAAGCTTGCGCAAAGCACTTCCCAGAACTACTTTGTACTACACAGCTTGCACAAAGCGCTTCCCAGTACTACTGTGTACTACAAAGCTTGCACAAACTACTTCCCAGTACTACTGTGTACTACAAAGCTTGCACAAACTACTTCCCAGTACTACTGTGTACTACAAAGCTTGCAAAAAGTACTTCCCAGTACTAAAACTACTGTGTTTCCTAAAACTGTGTTTCCTAAAACTCGAAAAGTGAAAAAATAAATTGAGCAATCCCAATAATGTTGGCATTTATCCACCCGGTTTTCCAATAGCAGGCTGTGGTCATCCCGCCCTATTCTCATTGTGGGATGACCATCCCCTTTCATGTGAAAAGCACGTTCTGCAATGGTCAAAACATTGCATATGCGGAAAAATATCTGAATCCTTGTGAAAATGGACGATCATCCTCCCAAATAATAGGCCCATAGACTCAAGTTCTGAAATAAAATCATGGACTGATCCTGGATCGCAAATTCCCAAATTACACATAATTTGTAGAGTATATCAATCATGATCAATGCCCATCATTTTTCTCTAATATCCCCCAAGAACCTACGGCAATTCACCCGTAGGTTAAGCACCTCGGGCTGCGAATGCTTCTTCACCGTTCGATGGATGGACGCCAAGACGTTGGCAGCAAGGCCAAAGGCAGTGGCCAACCTGGGAGCGTCAGTTCCGCTCAATGTTGGTGGATCCGGTCACTGGGGATACTTCATAATCAATGATCGATGTTTATCTACATGCACAATTAGTATATATATATATGTGTTTATTATAAACATATTCTATATATATATATGCTTATTATTAAAAAAAATATTCTATATATATATAGAAAAATGATTTTAAAAAAACAGAGACACTGTTTTGATAGTTGGTTCATGGGGTTGGATGTGGCATTTTTTGCTGGTATTGTGAAGATCCACTGCCAGGAATAATTACCGAATTACGTGTTCAAAAATTTAAACCATTGAACGGAATAGACAAAACCCAATTTCGCATCAAGCTGCAAACCAGCAAAACAAGGTTGCTCAGACAGCTGTTCCATCCTCCCTTGCTCTGCCATGTCCTCTTTGTCCTCCGTGCCTGATCGCAGTCAGGTTGTCAGGCTGTCAGGTTGCTGGAGCCGCCGCACAATGCATAAAACATCACTGTGACATCACCCAAGCAATAGGTGGATCATTTACACTATCTATTCAGATATCGGTGATATCAGCGATATCCAAAGACCATGACATTTTCCTACTGCTGTGGTTTCCATTGCCCTGATTACAATCGGAAACCGAAAATTTGCATTGTTCTGGCCAGAAAACGGCCTGGATGCACGATGAATCTGAACAAAATAGATCCCGCAATCAGACAACCAACAAATTTCACACCATTAACACCACATGTACTAAAACAATCTGGGTCAAGTATTGCGCATTTATAATTACTTTGGCGTTCCAATGTGAAGGAAAACCCCCACCTGGTACCACCTTCAGTCAGAAGAAGTTAGCATGGCCCAGCAGAGGGACGGACGTGGCCCGCCAAGCCGAAAGCTGCAAAGCCCAAAGGTCATGGTCACCCAAGCATGTTTTTCGGATTGCCCACCAGCCAAAAAACATCAAAAAATCATGTTTAAGAGCACCCAAAAGAAATGGGACATTCACAAACCGACTAGCAAGCTAGCATTTCTGACGCCGGCACCGTTGAAGGTTCACCATTGTAACTGCTCTGTTCAGTGGCCAACACTATTTCTTTGGACCGAAGGTATCCAGCAAAACTAATGTTCGATATACCCTGCAACCCCATCCCATCAGACAATTTTTTCCAGTGACTTTCGGTCTGGCAACTTGGGCGAACAGAGCTGGGCAACATCCTCATGAGGACCTCTTTATTCATTAAATTTCATTAATGTATCTGCAGAAGTTGCTTGTTTTACTTGAGACAACTTAGAGACAACCAAGAGACAACCGAGAGACAACCGGGAGACAGCCGGGAGACTGCCGAGAGGACATTTCGGCAGGGTGGTGGAGCCTGTGGAGGAGCTTGGCACTGCACCTGTTGACAACTGATCTGTCGCCAAAGCTAGGAGGGTCCTGGACTCTTTGAAAGTGGATCTTCCTGCATGTTTTACTCATCTGGGAGAAAAGATGGGTGCAGAAATGCACGTATTGTCACTTTGATTGTCCACCCCTACGGTAGACCAAAGACATTTTTGTGAGCAAGCATGGACATAGGAGAAACTGCATCTAGTCATCCTGCTTTGAACAACTTGAGCACAAGTGAAGCCCTCTACATAATGTTTCTCAACGCTGCTCCAATGTTCTGGTGCGCTGCATCAGGCATGACATCGGGAATGGTCATCCTGTCATGAATGGGATCTCGAAAGCTGATCTTCTGGGTATGTGAACCCCTGGGGGATGACCCCAAATATGTGCATACCCTGGTTTTGCGCATAGCACTTGTGTTCAAGCAATAAAAGAACTCTGCTTTGCGTCAAATCGGCTGCCCTTTTTCAAACACCAGCATCCTCTAGCTGTTTTTCTGAGAGATGTCTGTCATATTATTTCATTCCGTCTCCGCAGTTGCTTTCAGCCCACAACCCTTAAAAAGGCCAGTTGAAGCAGGTCATCCGTCCGAGACGAGAAGTCTAAAGATATACTGACTGACAGTGATGCAGTGATGCAGGTTGACAATTTTGCAGCCCCATATCGAAGATAAGGTCAGCAAAGGGGAATTGTCAAGTTGCCAACTTGGAAACCACATGGCGTCTCTGCAGGTCTGGGAAACTGCTTGCACTCGTGTGATTAGAAGCTCTGTTTGTATCCTTTGATACATTAGATAGGTACGGCATATCTGCAGTTTCCAACAATCTCGTGTAGTTCATTAATGAACAAGCTGTGATTCCAGCGTGCAGCTCACAAGCAAGCTACCTGTTGCATCAGCCGAGCTCCGTGAAAAGGTCTCATGGTGAAAACTTCGCATGGTGGAAACGTCCAAGTCCAGGATTGACCCAAGTGAATGCGACAGGTTCTCATTTGCTTTGGACATCTATGACAAACCGCGGTTTACCTTCCAAAGAGCCTGATTGCTTGGGATGCGAAATTCTGCATGGTTGATTTTACCAACTACGAGCTGTCTGCCCAACTTGATGCGGGGACGAAAGCTAGCTTGGCAGGGAGCTTGACATGACACAACGATGCTGAGGACATGCCGACGGTGTCCCCGGGGGATGGAGCCACAGCCAAACTGCCCGGGTGAACCAGCCAGCCCGGGCCGGGGAAGGGCCGGGGGGGTTTGTTAAGTATGAAGCTTCATGCGGTTGGAGATTCCAGCCCCCCCAATACCTTGCTAAAGCAAGAGGGACTTCAGCTAGCAGAAGCTAGCTTTCGTGATCAAACTCCTTGAACAATGGAATGAAACGGGTGCTGGGCATCATGGGAAGAGGGTCGCACGTGGAAACACGCAAGCTATTTCGGCCATGCTCTTGGCATAAACTGGGCTTCTAGATGCAGCACATTTTCTCAAGACCCTTGCGATGCAAAGTTGTTTTAATCTCTTCTCGTCGCTGCAGGAAACTGATCTTCTCCAGGCTGTCCCAGGAACACGATGGAACCGATTCACTGGGAGAAAAGATGGGTGCAGAAATGCACGTATTGTCACTTTGATTGTCCACCCCTACGGTAGACCAAAGACATTTTTGTGAGCAAGCATGGACATAGGAGAAACTGCATCTAGTCATCCTGCTTTGAACAACTTGAGCACAAGCTCTACATAATGTTTCTCAACACTGCTCCAATGTTCTGGTGCGCTGCATCAGGCATGACATCGGGAATGGTCATCCTGTCATGAATGGGATCTCGAAAGCTGATCTTCTGGGTATGTGAACCCCTGGGGGATGACCCCAAATATGTGCATACCCTGGTTTTGCGCATAGCACTTGTGTTCAAGCAATAAAAGAACTCTGCTTTGCGTCAAATCGGCTGCCCTTTTTCAAACACCAGCATCCTCTAGCTGTTTTTCTGAGAGATGTCTGTCATATTATTTCATTCCGTCTCCGCAGTTGCTTTCAGCCCACAACCCTTAAAAAGGCCAGTTGAAGCAGGTCATCCGTCCGAGACGAGAAGTCTAAAGATATACTGACTGACAGTGATGCAGTGATGCAGGTTGACAATTTTGCAGCCCCATATCGAAGATAAGGTCAGCAAAGGGGAATTGTCAAGTTGCCAACTTGGAAACCACATGGCGTCTCTGCAGGTCTGGGAAACTGCTTGCACTCGTGTGATTAGAAGCTCTGTTTGTATCCTTTGATACATTAGATAGGTACGGCATATCTGCAGTTTCCAACAATCTCGTGTAGTTCATTAATGAACAAGCTGTGATTCCAGCGTGCAGCTCACAAGCAAGCTACCTGTTGCATCAGCCGAGCTCCGTGAAAAGGTCTCATGGTGAAAACTTCGCATGGTGGAAACGTCCAAGTCCAGGATTGACCCAAGTGAATGCGACAGGTTCTCATTTGCTTTGGACATCTATGACAAACCGCGGTTTACCTTCCAAAGAGCCTGATTGCTTGGGATGCGAAATTCTGCATGGTTGATTTTACCAACTACGAGCTGTCTGCCCAACTTGATGCGGGGTAAGGGACGAAAGCTAGCTTGGCAGGGAGCTTGACATGACACAACGATGCTGAGGACATGCCGACGGTGTCCCCGGGGGATGGAGCCACAGCCAAACTGCCCGGGTGAACCAGCCAGCCCGGGCCGGGGAAGGGCCGGGGGGGTTTGTTAAGTATGAAGTTTCATGCGGTTGGAGATTCCAGCCCCCCCAATAACCTTGCTAAAGCAAGAGGGGCTTCAGCTAGCAGAAGCTAGCTTTCGTGATCAAACTCCTTGAACAATGGAATGAAACGGGTGCTGGGCATCATGGGAAGAGGGTCGCACGTGGAAACACGCAAGCTATTTCGGCCATGCTCTTGGCATAAACTGGGCTTCTAGATGCAGCACATTTTCTCAAGACCCTTGCGATGCAAAGTTGTTTTAATCTCTTCTCGTCGCTGCAGGAAACTGATCTTCTCCAGGCTGTCCCAGGAACACGATGGAACCGATTCACTGATACTTCAGGTATTCAGACTTGATTTGTTGCAAAGAGGTGTTGCAACTGGAGTTGGGCAAAGGTCTATTGATCTTTTGCTGTCCAAACTGTTTGCACCGCAATCCAAGAGACAAATGAGCGGTGCTCAAAACGGGTCTGATATTTCATGATACTCACATGGTGCTTTCGCATGTACCTTCGCGCTGCTTTCGCTATCACACTGCCCGCTTTCGTGCGGCGAACATTTGAGAGAATTGCTTTCGCGAAGCTTTCGCGGCTGTGTCTCTCGGCTTGGTCGTAGCAAAGCTTTCGCCCAGCTTTCGCGAGCTGGATTTTAGCTTTCGCGGGCGCCACCCAGCTTGAGCACAAGTGAAGCCCTCTACATAATGTTTCTCAACACTGCTCCAATGTTCTGGTGCGCTGCATCAGGCATGACATCGGGAATGGTCATCCTGTCATGAATGGGATCTCGAAAGCTGATCTTCTGGGTATGTGAACCCCTGGGGGGATGACACCAAATACCTGGATCTTCACTTAGCACTTTTTTCTGCTCATAGCAGTTTTCGCTTGGATTTACGCTTGTTCTGACTTTTTATGCTCACTTGAACTAGAAAACGCGCATTTGTTTCTTGATGGACGGGCATTTACGCTTTTCCCGGGTATTTATGCTTATTTCCCGGGAAAATACGCTTATAATTTCGGCTTCAAAATGCACAAAGTGCAAAACTGCCAAAAGTGGTGCAATTACGCTCATGTGGAGAAAAACCGCTCAAAAAGCAGAAATCTCTCAAACGAGCATTTATTTGTGCTTTTTCGAGGATGCAGGTATATGCATACCTTGGTTTTGCGCATAGCACTTGTGTTCAAGCAATAAAAGAACTCTGCTTTGCGTCAAATCGGCTGCCCTTTTTCAAACACCAGCATCCTCTTTGTGGATCACAGCTGTTTTTCTGAGAGATGTCTGTCATATTATTTCATTCCGTCTCCGCAGTTGCTTTCAGCCCACAACCCTTAAAAACTTAAGAGCAGGCGGAGGCGGACGAAAGGTAGTGTAGTGGGAGAGGAGTGGTGTCAAAATACTGCGCCCCTAAGATGATACACCAAAAACGCTTTTGCGCAGTCTAAGATGATTTTATCCAGAGCATGACTGCATGATACGGTGTTTTGTGCAGCGTGAAATGATGCACGAAAAGGGGTTTATTTAAAACCCCTTTTTAAGACCCCTTGCAGCAACTGTTATTGAGGCTGAAGCAAACCAATTGTGCTGGACTACAGGGACAGGACCGTGACCGCGTCACCCGTGGGAATTGAACCCATGAACAGGGGGAGGCCCCCCCCCTTATAATTGATATCTAATACATAACGTCGAGAATTCTACGTTTTCCACGGGCTGGCCCCCCAATACCCCCTATGATTGTGCTGAAGCACGGAGAACTCAGGTAGCTGACGCTACCTTTCGT